CAGCGCTTTGAGGCTCCCCAGGTTCCTCTCACAAGCTGTTCCTCTGTGGCAGCCTCGCAGGGGGATGAATGCAGTCTTTGAGGATGCAGCTGGATTCCTCCTGAGACTTCCCGAACGGGCTGGAGAAGCCCCGCTCGCTTCCAGGCTTTCCGAAGGCTCCGTAAGACTGACTGTTAGAAGCAACAGGGCTGATGTTTGTGTGCATTGCCGGGATCTTCCTGGAAGACGTTGGGCTCTGCAACATGTCGCAGTAACAGAGCAGGTATCAAAGAAAACACCCCAAATAATGGGACAGCTAAAAGTCTGTCCTAGAGAGGTCACAGGTAAGACGGAGCCATAAATGAGGCCGTGTTGCTGAGGATATGCCCTGGATTCCACCCTAGCAAATCATACTGAATTTGCAGTTTGCATCCCGTGCTGTTTGCCACCCAAGTCATGGAACAGAGAAGAAGGAACCTGACCGTGTCCTCTCGCAATATTCAGATCTCCATTGTGGCAGCAATCAATGCCAGACAAGGAAAGTCTCCAGGCTGGAGTCTATCTTTGGATCCAGGCCTTCCCACCATGGGAACTTCTAGGGAAGCAGAGGCTTTGCTTCCCTAACTGCCATCAGCTGCAGGCAGAAGGAATCACCTCCCAAGTTTGCTTCCAAAGGAAGATTATAAATTAAAGTCCAATTTGCCAGACCTTTAGGTGAGCAACTGTTTCTGCATAAACATATATTGGTTTGTGGGCAGCACTATATGGTTAGCTGCAAATCTAACTGACTTTAACATCGCTGTGTTTACGACTAAACGAGATGGCAAATAGAAGCACATTTTCTAAAGTCATGGTTTTAAGAAGCCTGTCTCGAGATTTTTGAAAGCTGGAGATTTAAAATAATGATTATCATGAGCTAATAAGTAAAAGCTTTTTTTTTTTTTTTTTGTAAATAAGTAATAGTAAAAACTATGCATGCAAATTAAGAGCACAAAATGCTGTGCTAGAGAGCTAGAGACTTCTAAGTAAGAAAGAGCACATGGCTGGCCTGGGTAAAATTATTCAAGTGAAATAAAGCCAAAGACTTTAACGTCTCTCTGAAAAAAAGGGTCAATATCAGAAATATAGTTAAAAAAAAGTAAAATTATCACCTATAATTTGTCATGCTACAATATTAGTGGAGAAATCCAAAAGCTCTTTTTGATCTGCTGCCTAATAAATAGGTTGCTAGGCAAGAGTTGAACATTTTTAATAAATCCTTGCAATATTCTGCAGCTAGTATCAGCAGAAAGTCTTCCAGCCTTTCCCCTGGAAACACGCGGGTTTAGAAAGGACAGAAGAAACTGCCTACATTGGGTTTTTGCCCTCTGGAAACACACACAGATGCGAACTTCCAGTGCATCTGTGCTGCTTCTCTCCTTGGGTCCGCGTTAAGCAGCAGAGGAGCCACAGGCAATCAATCCTCACGGATTCGGGGCCTGGGAGAGGTGCAGACAAAGACATTAATAGTGACAGGTTAAGTCCGCACAGCTTTTCATCCAAGGATCTCTTAAAACRTAACAAAAGAGTAGTAAGAGCTGGAGGTGCGACCCAAGGCTGGGATGTCACAGTAGGGACATGCAAGCGGGGATTATTCCCTGCCCTATCCAGGGCCCTTTCCCTAGCCCTGAGGCACTGGGTGCCCAGTGGGAAAGGCTCAGCCCTTCTCAGTCATCCCTGCTGGCGCCACTCCAATTTGTCTAAGACACTTAAATATTCATCGGGAGGGAGCAAGTCTCCGTCTCGCCTGGTGCACAGGCTGCTCTCTGGGGAGACGGGACACCTGCCCCCTCTGCTCCCTGCTCCATCAAACCATTAATTATTTAAAATAACAGGAAGGAGCAGGAAGAGCCCTCCACGCCAGACACGCTCGCTGCTTATGTGGCCCTGCAGGGACCAGGGTTTGCAACTCCCCTCAGGCAGTGGCAAGGATGAAACGTGGCTTTCCCCCTTCCTGGCGGGGTGCTTTACTTACAGAGAGATCGTACAAAAGCGGCTCTTTTTCCTTTATCCAGACAGCCCTCCTGCTTGATATTTTAACCAGATTTTTTACAAATTCATTTGAATAAAAGGAAAACAAAGCATGGATCCAAACCCCTGAGACCAACACAGACATCCCCTCGGCCACCCATCCCAGTAACCACTCAGGAGCTTATGATCCACAGGGATGAGAGGCCACGCTGCCCGTTTCACGGGCCAGCCCTCCCCAGYGGTCCCATTGCACCCCCTGCCATGAGATGACGACTCACTGCCGCACTAAAGATGGTCCTGCTGTCCTGCATGAGCAGTCCCCACGTCCCCAAAGGATGTTGGGGTCCCCCCAAATTAGCCTGAGCCTAAGGGCAGAGCAGAGCCCCAGCTGCAGCATGGAGCTCGTGGCACATAAATAGCACTGGCACCCTCATGTGGTCACCACCATCAGCGTGTGCTCCAGGCGAAAGCCAGGCGTACAGCAAGGCTGGAGAGCACTGGGGACACTGAGACACGAGGGCTCCTCCAGGGACGTGTCTGGAGGAGGAGAGGGTGGCCCAGGACGGGCTCGTGCCTCCTGGTTCTGCCCATCCTGGCTCTGCAGGAACCTCGTTCTCTTCATGTATATTTTTTTTCTATCTATTTCAAGGCCAAAAAGCAAAGGCATCTACTCAGGCAACCCAAGGTGTCTCCTTCCAGAGCAAAAAAGGATACAGACAGGAAAAGGCAAGAGACAGCAGTGTCAGTGGTACAGACCATGGGGACGGGGAGCCACGGGTCCATTCGCGRAGCCCTCTGAGACGTGAAGCCCTGGGTCAGCAGGACAGGTTTTCTGGTGACGAAGAGGCTGGTGGCTCCTCTCTAGCAGGGCAGGGAGGTGGCAGGGTGACATCCTGGAGCACAACTCTGGGGACCGCGGCCATGGGGACAGCAAGGGGCTCCCCGGGACAGCGGGCAGGACACGAAGGAGCAGCCTGGGAGACGGGGGCAGCTCGGCCGGTGGCCTCGGCTTGGCTGRACACCCGTGTCATCCTCCACATGGGGGGCAAGCGGGAAAAAAACACGTTATTCTCCGCATGAAGCGGGTGGAAAAGCCGTTTCTCCCCACACGGAGCCGTTATTCTCCACACGGGAAGAGCAGCAAAAACCGCTACTCTCCCCACAGCGCGGGAGGGAAACCCCTTCCTCGCCATATTCCCTCCCCACACGAAAACATTAAAATCGCGGCTTTTTTTTTTCCCGCTTTTCCCCCGATTCCGTCGCTGCGGCGGCGCCCGCCCCCGCGGCGGGGCCGCCCCCTCCGCCCGCTCCGCTCCGCCCGCCGAGCGGCGGCAGAACCGGGATCGGGACCGGGATCGGGACCGGCACCGGGCCAGGCCGGGCCATGGGGGACGAGCTGGCGTCCGAGGGCGACACCCGTGAGCGTGGGGGCCGTGGGGGCGGCGGGGGGCTGCGGGCGGACCCCCTCCCCCTTAACAAAAAACACCCAAAATCGCAAGGAAAACCGCGTACCTCGAGGTGCTGCGGGTGACGTCACTCCCTCCTTTTTCTGCGGTTTGGCCCCATTTCCGTCGCAGCTCGCRCCCGGCCGGGCCTAGGGGCGGGCACCTTCTGGGGGGGTTTGACCCGTTTCCGCCCCTCCGTTTTATTCACTGCTTTTTCAAAATCCCCTGAGCGGTTGYGTCGCTTTGCTGGTGGATTTTTAGGGTAATTTGCGGCGTTATTTGGGATAACGGCGTTTGTGTTTGGTGTTGTGAGGTGCAAAATGCCTTCAAACTTGGGCTCCAAAGGGTGGGAAAGACTGCTAGGTATGCACTGAAATGCTCCCAAAATGCACCAAAATGCCYCTGAAATGCAGCACCCCGTGATCGGGAGCACATTTACACTTACAGTGCCAGACATGCTAGTGTGGATGCCGAGATGTTCTGATCACCGAGTTGTTCCCATTTGTTGCCAGAAATAAACAGTTTGCAGCTCCTGTGGCCTCGGATGGATAATTTGTTATTATATGTTGATGATGCAGAAGAGCAGATGGAGGAAATGAAAAATAAGGGATGATTTGACATTTCTTGACAAATCAGCCGGTGCTTTGGACATCCATAAAGTGAATTTCTGTCACCTTCAGAGTGGGTCGCCAGCTATTTGCTTGCCTGGAACATAACAGAGGTTTTCTCCACCCAGCAGAGACGGRCATTTGCAAGCAGGTAGCCTGTGCGTGGCTGGTGGTGTTGACAACGCACCTGAAATCCACTGGTTTCTCCAAGATCTCTTGGTATTTCCACCCAATGAAGTATCTGTGCGGTGTGGAACCAAATGYCACTGCCTTTGGCGAAGCAGCAGGTCCAGAACTCCTGAAAAAAAATAATTTTCTTTATAGATTTTGGTTACAGATTTTTTTTTTCTTGGAAATAGGAGAAATGGGTGGTGAGAAATCCAGAGGGTGCCACCACTGCTACCCCAGGATTGCCCAGCAGGAAAACCCTCCTGCTCCTTCCAGAGAGGCATCACTAGTGCTGTTTGCACAGCCAGTCTCTTGTTTAGCTCCTCAGCACTGTGAAACAGGAGCCATAACATGTTTTCGTGCCTCTTGCATGTGCTTAGTGTCTAGTGCATGTTTTCTCAGGGCTAATGAAGTCTTTCKCATGCACGTTTGCAGACACTCCATATAGGATCCTGACAAGCGGATTGTGCATAGGAAAATGCCAAGGCAAAGGCTCATCCACATGGAGATGAGCAGCAAAGTCAGTGGAAATGCACTGATTTATGTAGCCAAGAACCTCGCCTGGCATCATTTGCCTCTCACCATCCTCAGAGTTCACCTATGCAGCACATAAACCTGGGCAAAGGCCTCCCTGCTTAGGCCAGCACGACCTTCTGGTCTCAAAGGGTTGATTTTTGGTCAAGGAAGGCAGCCTTGTTGTGGCTCTTGTGATAACCAGGTGATGGAGATCAGTGGAGAGTGGTGCTCTTTGGGGAGSCTTTTTGGGATGTGCTCCCCGGCCGCGCTGCGCTGACGCCGGCTCTGTGCCCTTGCTGCAGTGCTGCGGGCCGAGAAGGAGCTGCACGATGCGGCCAGGCGAAACGACACGGCCGGGATGGAGGAGCTCATCAGGAAAGGCGTGGATATCAAAGCCAAGAACAACGTGAGTCCTGGGTGCTCCCACCGCCCAAGCGCGGGCTCCCGTGTTTGTGGCTGCAGCTGGTCGACACTGCCACCTTCRTTAGCTGCTTAATTGGCCAAAGCTTTAGGACCATCCAGGGCTTAAACAGGTCCTGTGGCAAGTGAGCAGTTCGACAGCACGCTGAAGCCCATAGCACTGGCACAGAGCCACAGAATCCTTAAGGCTGGAAAGGACCCTTAGATCTCATCTAGTCCAACCCYGCTGCACACGCAGGGTCACCCAGAGCAGGGGGCACAGGCTGCATCCAAGCAGGTTTTGAAGGTCTCCAGAGAAAGAGACTCCACCACCTCTCTGGGCAGCCTGTTCCAGGCTCTGTCACCCTCACTGATGAGAAATTTTTCCTTAAGTTCCTGCAAAACTCTTGGTGCTTCAGTTTGTGGCCATTTCCTCTAGTCCTGTTGCTGTCCACCACTGAAAAGAGGCCGCCCCATCCTCCTCACTGCCTCCCTTGAGGTATCTGTAGACACTGAGCAGGTCCCCCCTCAGCCTCCTCTTCTCCAGGCACCCATCCTAGCTATTTTATTCCATCCTTCCATAGGCAATCCCATTCCCGTGCTTTCCACTGTAGTACATTACTGTAGTTTCTGAAAGAAACTGAACAGTGCAGGTTACTTTCTGCCAGGAATGCTACACAGTGCAGGAAATTCTGACTCCATGGATGGCAAGAGGATTTTGGCCTGCAACAAGGTCCATGGATACTGCATGTGCTCCCCATCCATTAACCTCCCTCTGTCCTTCCTTCCCTTTCAGACAGACCGAACTGCCCTGCACTGGGCTGCAGGAGCAGGGAATGAGGAGGCCGTGCGGCTGCTGCTGGACCACGACGCCCCGCTGGATGATGAAGACAGTGTATGAAGGCAAATCTTCCTTTCGTGCCCTGCAAGCGCAGTCCGTGCTTGGGGAGCTGGTCAGAGCTGGCCAGGCAGTTACAGACTGCTCCTTATTCCAGTGTGCTTGGAAAGCGGTGGCAGCAGTGCCCAGGGTGCTGCAGTGTCCTTTGGGAGCAAGCCTGAGCTCAGGACATGGCGTGCTCTGTATTTTGGCCTTTTTCCCTGAGTGCCCAGGAAACACAGCTGGGAGATTTGGGGAGGTTTCCTCCGTAGCACCAGGACATTCAGTTTCCTCTGGTCATGGTGCTGGGGCTTGTTGGAGCGGACGGCAGCCAGCAAGTTCATTTTCTCCCTGCCAACAAGCAGGCTAATATGTTAATTGACATAATAATTGACAGGCTAATCATTGGCTAGGAAGTGTTAGTCAAGAGGCAGGTCTGCTTAGCTGCTCAGACCATCTGGTAGGAGTAATAGAAACAGGTGAGAGAGTGGACAAGAAAATAAAGAAATAGAAAAATCTGGAAGCTTCATAAGGCTAGAGGGGCAGCTTCTTTCCAGGGTGGCAGTGGTAGCTCAAAACATCTCTCTCCTCTTTTCCCAGTTTGGGATGAACGCGCTTCTCCTGTCTGCCTGGTTCGGCCACCTCCGTGTCCTGCAGATCCTCGTCAATGCCGGCGCCAAAATTAACTGTGTCAATAAGGTGAGAGATTCTCTGCGTGGTTCCGTCAGGCAGAGCCAGAGGGTAAGCGAGGAGGGTTTACCTGTGAGCTAAGGTGACATGGCAGCATCTGCTGTGGCCTCAGGTGGAGTCATCTTCGCCTGTGGATGGCTTTTTCCTAAAGTGGCTGTGATGGTTGTAGCTGTAGAGATGCACCAGGCTTTCCCAGCTCGCGTTTGTGCAGTGCTGAGGTGGAAGGTGTTACAGAAATGGGAAATGGGTTTAATAATTCAGCAGTCCCTGTGTTTACAAATAAATCTTGGTTAGAAAAGGAGCACCAGTATTTTGGAGTCACAGCTTGCAACCCTGGTTAGCTTAACTCTGGAACTTCAGGGAGGCATTGGATGTGTCTTTGATAGCAGTAGCAAATTGCTAAAAAAAAGATGTCCTGCAGTCTTGAACTTAATTAAGCTGATAGTCCTTTTGCAGAATGGCAGGAACCTGCTCCACTGCGCGGCTCAGAGGGGACACCTSCGGGTGGTGGAGTTCATCATGGAGGACCTGGAGGACATGTGTGTGGATGAGACAGACAAGGTAGGAAGGCTCTGCCCTGGCTTGATTCCCGGGGTCTGGTCCTGCTTTGCTGAGCTTGGCACGAGTGTTCCCCTTCAGCTTGGGAAGAGCGTGGCTGAGCCCCGCGCAGATGGTGTTTGCCAAGTGCCAAGGGGATCCCACGCTTTGGCAGCTGGGGATTTCGGGCACAGGCTGCTGGAGAATGGGTTCAGGAGCTTCTTCGTCCTTCTCTCTCATAGCCAATGTCTCAGAGTGTGGTGTAGGTTAAGGAATAAGTGCAAGTAACCATCTCCCAGCATGTTCCAGCATCAGCTGGTCCGTTCCTGAAGATAAAGGAGAAACTTGCAGGACCTGGCACACACTTCTCCTCCTGCTGGCCACTGTAATTCCTACAGTGACCCTTGCATCGCTGCACCGGCGCTTAAATGAAGCAACAAAAGATCTACCTTTCCCCCAAAGAGTATCTGACTCACTTGATAATAAAACTCTCAGACTTTAATTCTGTATTTTATCCTTAATTGCTCTTGATAAACTTCTTCTTATCCTCCCCTCCACTCCGTATGAAGCAAACATTGAAAAGTGCTTGGTGAGACCCAAGTGTTTGAAGTTGTTAGCACCAGTGGGTGGTTGTGTTCAGGTTGTTYTGTTAGGATCATCCCAAATCTGAAGCAGAATGCAGGTTTACAGCTGGTGCTGTATTTGAAGCTGGYTGTATTTGAAGTGCAGCACGCTGTTTCCCTCTGTGGGCACTAAGCTCACTGTGCAATTGAATTAACTGCCCAAGGCATCACTCTATGACTCTATTTCTTTCTTGAACTCTATTTCTTTCAACTTTTCTCTTTTTTTCTTTCTATTTTTCTCTTATTTTCAATTCTTGGGCTCTCTTTCTTTCTACTTCCATTCAAAGGCAGAGAGGACGGCGTTTCACCTGGCTGCAGAGCATGGGCAGCTGGACGTGGTGGAGTTCCTCATTCGGCTGGGTTGTTCTCACAGCGTTAAAGACAAGGTATGGGCAAAAAAAAACCCACTGAAARTCTGGGAAAAACCCATGGATTAGAGGGTGTGAGTGTCAGGGAAGAATCTACCATAGGAGGCTGATGGAAGCAGGTCCTGAGCAGCCATTCCTATGGTTGTGGTATGCCAGGGATTTTCTTCCCCATCTATTCACAGACCATTTKCATGTCAGTCCATGATGGATTTCTGTCCAGGACTTTTTGGTCAGCGTGCACGGTGACTTGGTGGGGCTCATTTTATTTTAAGATAACTGAGTTTATTGTCTTCCTGCTGCTCTTGTTAGAAAACTGTTCCATACCCTTGCTGCTGGTTAGAATCTTCCTTTCTGTCACTCTAGATGTCCTCTTTGCAAATATACTGTATCTGAATACTCAGTCCTGTGAGATATACATATATATATATAGTTATATATATATTGTGTGTATATATAATATGAACTTGTTTGTTTTTCAGGAAAAGAATACAGCATTGCATTTAGCTGCTAAAAATGGACATCTCTCTGTGCTGCAGAAGATTTTAGACATTGGAGTGGACCTTGATGAAAAGAACTTAGTAAGTCTAAAGAAAACTACATAAATTTCACTTTTTAGAGGTGTTCTGTTGCTGTAATCATTAGCGTGAATGGTCAGCACTGGTGGGACAAGTTTGGAAGATAACTGATTTTATCTAAATTGTATATATGTAAAAAGCGGGACACATTTGCAGAGWATCAGTTAAAGGCACCATCTTTCCAAAGTGTCTCATTTTTTTCCCTGCTGTTCATGCTGACTTGCCTTATCACTTAATTATCTCCCTTTTCTTTCCCTAGCCTTTGTACCTTCAAGTGCCTAAATCATTATTAAGGGTGTTTTAAACTAAACCTCGGTGTGTTTTGAAGTATTGACTTAAGCATTGAACATATGACCCTTATGTTTGAGATCCTCCCTTTTTGATAGACACCCTTTGGAAAATTCTGTGGTTGGAACATACTTAATGACTCAGAGAGCAAATATTAGCAAGGTAAAGCCTTTATATGTGCCAGGGCACACTCTCAATTAAGTTTATCAGCATTTTTTTAGTCTCATTAGATTGCAAAGTGTATTTAAATCTGATAAGATCTGAAAGAAAAAGAAAACCATTTTACCTAGCAACTCTGGTAGCATTTGGCTGCTTCAGAAGGGCTGCCTTCTGTGCAAGGAGCAATAATAAAACTGAATTGAACCACTTGGGAATTCAGGTGGATCCTGTTTTCTTGTGATGCAATCAGCCATGGCTTTCAGAAAGGAGAACCACTGGTCCAGGGCCTCGGGTTACCAGTTTTGCCTGTGGCTTCCTGAGATATTCAGGGAATGCTCCTGAAAATTCCCGTTATTTGCAAATGGATTCAAGGGAAGAAAGGATAATGAATATAATGTCTGTTGTGTGGCCTATGGATCAGCGTTTTGCAGTGGAATAAAGACAGAGCAGGACTCTGAGAGTTACTTTCTTTTTTTATACCAGTTGTTAGGAATAAGACGTGACCCTCAGAACTGCTGTTTGGAAACACTTTGGATTGAAAGCTAGGCGAGGGACGTGTTTGTTGCGCTGCTGTGTCTTGACCTTGGGTAGGGAATCGCTGCTCATCTCCTCCTTTGTCGTCCCCCAGGAGGGACTCACAGCCCTGCACCTGGCTGCCGAGGGGGGCCACGGCTCCTGCGTGAAGCTGCTCTTGGAGGCAGGGGCGGATGTGAACGCCCAAACCCAGGTGAGCTCTTTGGAGGCGATTCCGTTTCCAGACGCGTTTCCATAGCATGACTGCAGCCCTTGCAGGACCTGCGCTCCTGCATCCACACAGCAGCTCTGAGGGCATGGAGCTCTGAGATGTCTTCTGCAGGGCTGCTGCCTGATATAATGTTAGCCCGGAGGAGCCCTGAGTCAAATGTCCCCAGCAGGAAGAACCTCTTTTAGCTTCCTTTGCATTTCTGTTGCCATCGTGGCAGGGCAACTGTAGAAAATGTTGGTTTCAGACCCTGCTTATGAGAGCTGGAGCCCTTCTCACTGCGTTGCCCTTCTCTCATGAKGCTCCTGCTGCCACTTCACCTCAGCATAACTCTTCTCCAGGGAGCTCTCCCAGGCTCMAGACATTCAGGCATTTGAGAAGCCAGATCTCCCTAAATCAATGAGAACTGGGCAAGGTGGATTTGCCCTGTGGATCTGGGTCCAGACCTGAGGTGGGCAGCTGTTATGTGGTCGGGCCATGTGGTGCCAGCACATCCGAAGAAAAGGACAGGGAGTCCTGAGAAAACGTGAGGTTTTGCACAGACAAAGAGGCAGGTGAAACTGCTCTGGGACCAGGACAACTATGGAGACAATCTCAATGATTATTTTTAGTAGTAGAGCGTGAGGCTCTAGCAGGAAGGRAGGAAGCAGGGAGATCTGTGAGGACAGTCTGCAACATCTGCAGCTCCTGAGGGGAAACGGGGAGGCCAGAAGGCTACAGTGATCCTCTCCTTAAAAGGGCTTCCTGACTAATGCTTGTCGTTTTGATGTGCCTCTCAGAAGAAGATGACCTGCCTCCATTACGCAGCGCTGCAYGGCCATGAGGAGATAGCCCGGGTCCTCCTGGGTGCAGGAATCCACAGGGACGCCGTGAATTACGTAAGTCCCTTCCATGCTCTCCTCACTTACAAAGAGGCAAGGCCAGTTTGCAGGGCTGCTGAGGGGTGCAGAGCAAGGAGCAGAGCTCCTGTGGGGCTCTGCAATATTGCCAGGCCTCCCTGCAGTCCGGCTGGCAGCTGCCTTAGTCTAGGCATGCTGCACAAAGCGCGGTCTGTGCCATGAGCTAAGCTCTTAAGCACAGGGCAGGTGCAAAGATCCTGAAGCCTGTTAGCAGCCAGCACTCGTGATGGAAAAGGAGCAGGGCACAAGAGTGCAGATGCATTTGCATGTTGGAGTACTGGAGCTTTAGCCTGTTCATCAGCTGGTCCTTCCTCCTGTTGCGTAGCCCTTTCTGGCTCTGTGGTCACCAGAACAAAAGAGCTCAGTCAAACCTCTCTGTCCACAGAGGACATTTGAATCCCACGTGCTCTCTGTGACCAGCCCGTGGACCTCAGTGTCTTTTCCATTTTGCATGCCAGCTTGTTTTTTCCCACAGCAAAATGCCTCGGCTACGCACATTGCAGTGCTGCAGAACTTCCCAGCCATGGTGAAGATCTTCATTGACGCAGAGTGTGACCTCGACATTGCAGATAATGTAAGGCTGTAGCTCCTTCACCTTTGGTATGTGAACCCATTTCATCACCTTGGGGACWGGAGTAAGGAATGTTTTAACGTGGGGAAACCTGGAAGTGCAACTGAGGMAGCATGAAACCTGTGTGATGATTGTGCATGTTGGAGTGAGGGGTCACCTGGCAGCACATGCTCTGTGCCATGTCCCCGGGACCTTGCACAGTCAGACTCTTGCACCCAACTGGCAGAATGCAGGAGGAATTTCAGGCCAGAAGATAATCTGCAAAATGCCCGGGGGACTGGGAAAGGGAAGCAAGCCTGGAGGCAGCTGATTCCCTCRCCAAAAGAGTTTTGAGGGGCTTTGCTCACAAATGAGCAACTTGGTTTCAGTTAACATTCATTGTTGCAGTGRTATCTGTCCTCATGCAACTGAATTGTCAGTGTTTGATATGATCTTTTACATTAAAAAATCCCAAGGTGTGTATGCATACAGTGCATACATTAGGCAGGTCCTGTGTCCCAGAAACAGAACTAGCACAGGCCTTTCCTCCCTTGGCCAAACTGTCTGAAATTGCCTAAATAATGGGAATTAATGTTCCTGTAAGTGGCTCCAGGAAGCTGAAGGTTCCTTCTTTAGACTGAAATGTTATTATGGAGGCTTCCCATAGTGTTCCCAGTGCTGGGACATAGACTGGGTCTGCCTGGCCCTTGGAGTTCAAGCCTAGAGGTAGAAGGAAAAAGGAGATGGAACTGATTTGGTTCTTCCAATGCTTCCTCCTGCTGCTGTTTCATCCATCCCTTCCAACCTTGTGCTCGTCCTGCTCTGAAATTTAGCCCTTTCTTCCATTTCCTGCTCTGAAATTTAGCCCTTTCTCCCATTTTCCGCAGAGGCAGCAGACTTCGCTCCACGTCGCTGCAGAGCATGGCAGGCAGGACATCGCTGAGATGATTCTCATTGCAGGAGTCAACCTGAAGCTGACAGACAAGGTAAATGCCATTGTGGGTGGAACTGGCGGGGAATGCAAGAAATATACGGATCGTCTTTGACTTTGTTTTTCTTAATTTTCAGGGAAAACTAACAATAATATTAAAATCTGGATATTTTCCAGGAAWAGGACCTTAAAAGACTGCTGAGTAGGTTATTTGTGTGTATTTTCCAGGAAGTGACTGGTTCTCAGGAAGGCAGAAAATAGTTCACAAAGACAAACAGAGTTGCTCCAATTCCTGCTATTTCTACTTCTGTCACTGTAAACATTACTGTCAAAGATCTTCTGGAGTCATAATAAACACTGTATCCCGGGGATGGTGCAGGTCTTGGAGCCCGTGTGGAGGGCTTTGGCTGCAGACTGAACAAGCAGGGCAGTTGGTGGTGGTCAGTGCATGTGCAGGGGAGATGCTGGAGGGGAGCCTCCCTTCCCGGGCTGCCTCCCTCGCCCTGCTGCATCTTTCAGACCTTGTTCCTTTCYGCTACATCCTTTGGCAGCCGTACAACAACCCCTGCTCACACACACTCGCTTCATCCAAGATCGCGTTCGTGTGGGGAGCGTAGTTAGGTTTCCCTACTGCCACCAGCCTGTGCTGTCTCCTAGGAGGTTTCCAATCGTGCGTTTGTGCATCCTATAGAATTAAAGAATTAAATAGAATAGAGCCACGTCCCATCCACGCTGCTGCGTGGGGTCCTGCACCCCGGGTGGATGAGCTGCTCCACAGCCGCCCTGCCTGCTTGAACTGCCCCACGTGGGCGTCAGGAGAACTTTTTAGAGGCTGCAGGCTCTTTTTCGGCTTATTTCCCCTTCTCTAATTGCAGCAAGGGAAAACGTCCTTGGATGTTGCAGCCCGAGGCAATCACGTCAACGTGGCGGACATGATCATCAAAGCGGATCGGTTTTACAAGTGGGAAAAGGTGAGCAGCTACAGCACGCCCTGCGTTYGCCAGGGCAGACGGAGCTATGTCCTCTCCGTTGAGGCTCCACGTTACCAACTCTTGAGGGGGAAATAAAGGCAGGGCATCCTGTGACAGCCTGGCCTCAACTTCCTCACCTTATTTAAGAAAAACAAAAGCCCTCGCCATGCCAACCAACAGCTCTACTTAAGACTTTCCTTATTTTAATAAAAGCCTCCATTATAAAACGCCCAGCCTGTGCTGAAGGGAGCAGGGATTTTCAAGGATATTTTGGCAGTCCAACCCCAAGCCCCACAGCAGTGAGTGTAGTCTAATTGTTCCCTTTATTGGGAAGGGGAACGTGAAGCACAGCGCAGGAAAATGATTGCCCCAAGCTCACCAGACGTGCATGGGCCCTTGAGGGTTTCCACAGCGGTGCGTTATTCCCCGTGGAAGGGAGGCACCTGCCCTGAGATCTCCTTGCCTCTCTCTAGCAGAGCAGTGGGTTCCTGTTGGACAAAACCACCGAGCCTCTTTGCAGTCCTGCACGGCAAGAGCAGGAGCACGTGCCTGTGTCAYGGGGGAGATTTGTGGTGCTGCATACGAGCCCTGGATAGAAGCACTGTAGAAATGCAAATTCTGATCCAYGTGGACTTGCCCAGCAGAGCTGTTAATAACAGCATTTGTTAACATATGTGATTAGAACAGGGTGAAACGAGAAGAAATGGGATGTGCCAAGATGGATTTAAGTGACCGGCAGAGCTGAGGCTCAAGGAGATGACAGGCGGGCAGGACACGGCAGGTTGGGTGCATCTTTCCTCCCCCGAAAGGCCGAGGGGTGACGGAGCAGTTCTCCCATACCCCATGGTGAAACTCCAGTTCTGACTTTGCAGGACAATCTGAACAGCGATTCCGACTCCTGGGTAGCGAAACATTTGACTTTCAAGCAAGATCACCAGCTGGAAACACAGCACATCCGCTCGGTRATGTGGAGATTAGCCACTAAATACCTCAGACCTGGTGAATGGAAGAAGCTGGCACATTGCTGGAAGTTCACGGATGCGCACGTCAGAGCCATCGAGCAGCAATGGACAGGTAAAAACCACAGCCAGGGGTTTTCCCTCACTGCTCCATATTTCCAAGAGGTAAGACTGCTGTGCTAGGAAAACATGAAGGAAACCAGCTGGTTCCTCTGCAACAGCCAGAATATTGGGTTGAAATGTTCCATTTGATGAACCTGAGCGTATCTATTCCCYTGAGTTTATTGCAGAGCCCAAGGCTCTCAAGCACAGGGCTAGAATCTGTTGCTCGCTGCTTTAGATGTGGTGCCAGGTCTGTGAATCCTCGCTACAGAAATCAAGTAAAAAAATCTTGCCCCCTAGAACAAGAAAGAAAACTTTATTTATTTATTTATATTTATTTATTTATTTATTTATTTATTTATTTATTTGGGAGACAAACCAAGAAGGCAGTAGAGTCTTCATTAGAATATAACAGATATATTATTAAAAGCAAAGCAGATCATCGGCTTGGTTACCGTAGGGAATCCTCTACTTTGTGCAATGCAGGGAGGGCTAGACTATCCTCTGAAAAAAACCTTTATTCACGTAAAATGTTGTATTATTCTGGCAATCAGACCACTACTGTACTTTGGAGCCACACAGTAAATTCCTGAGAGGAAAGGAATCCAAAGCCACCAATTTAGAAATCGGGTCAAGTCGGGCCTGTGCACTGTAAAGAATGGGATTTCATTTGTGGATTAATCTTGCCAGGTACAAAAAGTTACAGGGAACACGGCCATCGGATGTTGCTTATTTGGCTTCACGGTGTGATCATGGCAGGAGAAAATCCTATCAAGGGATTATATGAAGGTCTCGTGGGGATTGGAAGAAGAGATTTAGCAGGTAATGCTTTTGTCTTCCTTCAGATATCACACACTGAGCACTGTCTGGATTCCTTGCAATGCAACGTGCACCGAGGAAATCAAGCACAGCCACTTCACAAGCTGGAAGCTGCTGCCCAGCTTGCTCTTATTACATATGTAGTTTCTTTCTCTTCCTTATTTCGATAAACAAACACATCCTGCCCTAGACATTACCCTCTGTGCASCAGGACATGCCTACAGCAGTGTTACCAAGCCATATCCCATCCCTTAGATGTGAGAATATTGTGTTTTCTTTTACAGAAAGCATTCGGAAAAAAGCAAACGCAGACTCCACTTCCCCAAGGAAGTGCACAGCAATGTAAATCCCAAGGGGCATCCCAAGGAATGGTCCTTCCATCAGCTGCCTCGGAGCTGCAACAGCACCACTCGCTCTGCCACCCCTCAAAAGGCAGCTGTGATTTAAGGGCTCGTGTCACAGAAAGTTGGCATCGCTGCTGCGTCCCTCTTGGAGTGAAACAARAGCAGCAGCAGATGCCAATAAACGCTAATGCCCCTTCTACCTGAAGGGAGATTTTACTTGCTCTTGCACAGGTTCTGGTTACAGTGATCRTACTGAAGGATGTAAACCTCACTTGCCACGCTGCAAATGAGCATCGGGAAATGGGACACTGTTTTACTGTGCTTTGTTTACACAACGTTTTTGTACGTAAATTTTTATCATGAATTTTCTAAGTTAACTGGGGGAATGTGTTTAAATTTTCTGTATGCACTTTTTCTTYTTTTTTTTGTCCATAAGTTCTGCCTTTTTGTGTTTGTAACCTCATTGTTTTCTCTGAGCAAACTGCTGCACTGACAGAGAAGTGGTTCTCAGCACTGTTTCCCCTCAATGGGGAACATCAAGGCACTGACTTTGTTTCTCTTGGAACCTTGAAGGGGATAGCCTTTAAAGCTTAGACCATCTTCCTMAAAAGTTTCAGAAAAGAAAATTAACATGTCAGTGTATTATTTATAAAGCAAATAGGTATATTCTTTGCTCTCTCGAAGGCTACAACTTGAAAAACTGTGATGAAAATGGCTTTGAGYCCATCTTGTTTACCCTAGAACATACATAGGTGCATAATCTGTTTAAGAATATCAGGGCGCAGCTCGTCCTGACCAACGTACATGTCTTTTACTGTTTCCATTCAAAGACTCTGTCATCTGTTATTTAATAAAGCCCAGGACTAGGGCACTTTTTTTTCTTAAACACCACTGCCATATAAGGTTTTGTATTTATTTCTTACTATGTTTCAAGAGGAAATAAGATTCTGTATTCCAATAAATCAGACTTTTACATATGAGATTGCATCTTAGTCATCTTTTAGAGGTAATATTGTGCAGTTCCTGCTCAGAGCTAACCCKCTGAGGGCAAAGTTATCAACATTGCAAGTAAAGCTTTTTCATGCACAAAGATACTGACTTTCTGGATCCCTTCTAAAGGTGTCTGGAGAGGTAAATCACAATTGTAGAAGTCTCTACTACTGCTCTCTAGTAGTGAAAACAAGAGGCACTCGTTGAAATTGAAATTTTATTGAAAACCATTTCAACAGCTTGCAAGAAAGTTAAAAATTCAAATGCTATATTTCAAATAGAAAGCAACTTTCAACACAATATACGAAGCAAATAAGTCATGGCAACATTGGCACTTAAACATCTTTTCAACCAATATTCAACAAAAATATGGCCGCTTATAAGTACATAACCTGCACGTGGCAATATATACAGCTGAAGGAAAACATAAAAAGGAACGCTGTTCTGTTTAAGAACATAAACGTGAAGCCTTTGGTAGCAAAAATGTCTTTGTTTTTAAAACGGTAGTCTTCAAAGATACTTCCTCAAATCCAGAGACTAAAAATTAAACAAAGATATTTCATTACACTGCTGTGGGGTTTTCATCCTTGGGTAGTTCACTGACTATTGAACCTGCTGGAATCACACAGTGATAATCGGCTAACAGAAGGAAAAGGCAGAGTGGGAATAACTGATTGTACGCAGGAAGACCGAACTGATTCTTCATTTCCATGGAGAGTCAAAGAACCTACTGCTCCTCTTGCTCACTGCTGCTGTGAAGACTGATCCTCTGGACCTCCAGCTCCTCCGCGCTAACCATGGAGGGGTCGATGGCTGCGTACCGGGTACCATGGAACTGCAGCAAATGGATCTGTGGGACAAGGGAAATAACTCTGAAGCTGGTGTGACATTTCAGTAATCACTTAGGAATAATCGTTATGGGGATGAAATTAATAGCCGTGAAGYACAAGAGAAGACAGATGAAACCAAAGCCCCCAAAGGCACCTCTCAGTGAATGTGGCTGCTCTCAGCCTGTTCCTCTGTACCAGACACCTGAGATCCAGGGCAAACGGAGCTGCGGTGGGTTCAGAAATGAGGGTGGGCACAAACCAGGGCGTTTCCTACTGCTGCTTCAGCTGTTCCTGTTAGCAGATCGATCTGAATGTGACACTCACTTGAATGTACAGGTTGACTTCGGCACTCCTGCAGAGATAGGGGAAGTTGCCTCCTGTTTTGAGGTGAGCTCTCCGCCCGTTGGGATAAAGCTTATACATTTCCTCTTTGGCTTCGGTCGAAAGCGCGCTCTGGTCAAACACCTAGGGAACAACGAGCTCATGACAGCTCCAAGCAGATTCACTTATCAAATCACACCAGGTATGTGCTGCTTCTAGAGGTGACTCTGCTTCGCTGGGGAATGGTTTTGATGAAAAAGGTGTCAAGCAAATGGCTTAGACAGCCACGGGTAGAAAGCTGATGCTGTGCTATGCATTATCACATGTGTATAGAAACGTCTATACACGCAGGTGTATAGGAGTTTCCTCAACTTGGCTGTGTTACTACACTGAATATCCAGTAGATAGTTTAGGACTAGAGAGTCACAGTGCTGCCCAGTCRGAAGGCAAACCTCAAGATGAAATTAAGATGTTGAATATTTTCAATGTTTCTAACAGACTATCCAGACCCTGCCTGTTAAGGGGCATTAAAAGGAATACACCAAAAATCCACTTACGTCCATAATAGTTACAGGAATGTCTCGGATTTTATGAGGCTCTATGTAGGAATTCTGGCAGTTGAGGGTAAGTCTTGAAGCTAGTTCGCTCTGGCCCAGGCTCTCCAGCTTGCAGTAGAAAGAAATACTGATTAGCAATGTATTTCACTGCAGGAAGTTAATGCAATATTAACAATCCAGCCAAAGACAAGCTAACGCCTCAGTTTTATGGGGAAATATGACTGCATTTCAGGTCAAAATTATTGTTTCTACTTAACGTCTCTGCATAAAACATGAGAGTGGCTTTTGCTTCCAGAGCCCAGCGTACATTTACACCACCACAGCACCTCTTCTCCCATCTAATCTAATCGTTCCTTATCTCTTCTTGCCCACAGTCACAGCTTAGTCACAACAATTACATTGCTACAGCCGTGTCAACCATCACCTGCTACGGGGCCATTCCTTAGCGCCCACCTTGAGGTGGAGAAAATGAAGAAAAAGGCAGAAATTCTTTTGTCTGATGCTAAGGAACAGCGACTGTCACCACACGGCCACCTACCCTRTCCACCATGAAATCAATCCCATCGGCCATCTCAGGATCCAACGGACCAGAGGCAAAATTCCCAAGGACAATTTTCTTCAGCATAAAGGCGGGCATCAGCCAAAAGCTGAAACAGAAACAAGGTGTCACAAGCTTCAAGCACTCGGGACCGTGGGATTAAGGTTTTTTGCAGTTTCCCTTTTTTGCAAGTCTCCCTTTCCCTGCACAGACTTGGTGCTTTAATTTTGAATTCCAGAAAGCTTTAGGAACACGGAGGTGGAGAACCCTGCAGCCAGGTTCTTGAAACACTTTGCAAAGCTGTTTCCTTATATTGCATAAGCACACTTTGAACACAGTGAACGTTACATTTCTCTCTCTACATTTTATTTTACTAGAAATAAGGGTAACCGTTTCTAAAGTCTGACCTTGTGGCCTCAGAAGATCACAAGAATAAGATAAAAACAAGTCTAGTCTGTCAGATTCCACAGAGCCAATTGTGCAAATCTCTCTTTTCCTCGCAACATGATGTTAAAAGGCACAAGTATTCCAGCATGCATTTTCCTCACCATTAGTCACCCAAACTGGAAGCAGATTAGACATATTTTTCAACCAAACTAGCATGGGATTTCACCGAGAAAAAAACAAAACACACACCACAAAGCAAAACCTCCCACAAAACAGTGCCAAGGATCTGACGGCCTTTCTCAGTCTTTCTTACCTGTTTGCTGTCCATGTCTGATTGAAGATAGAAGTGTCGCTAAAGGCGTTACACAGGATCAGAGACTGAACTCTGGGAGATTTGTGTGTGTATTCAGCGAATTTCTGAGCCAAAAAGCCTCCCAGAGAAGCTCCAAAAAGGTGAACCTAGTTTAAGAAAAATCAGATCATATTACATTTTTGAAATGAATATCCCTCAAGTATTCTGACCTATTACAAAAATAGAGCCATTCAAGCTTTATTCCTGTCCTTGTAACAATTTTTTTTTTTTTTTTTAATCAAACTCCTCAATTCAGATTCTGTAATTTTGCGGATGCGATAAACACTGAAAGATGAAGTGTTTTTGGAACAGAGTTCAAATCAAATTGTTGTGTACTTAAGAAGCTTACGAAAAGCTTAAGAAAAAAAGCAAATATTTTAGTCTGTCTTCAACAGCTCTTCTGAGTTACTTTCATTTTGGCCTACTGTACTACATGAATCACAGAGGTGAACTTCCACAGGTTCTAAAATAAAATTAACTAATATAGTAGGTCTAGAGTAAAAATTAACCAATAGCTCTAGAGTAGCAATGGATTTCAATTTTCAAAGTACCTTAGAAAATAAGCTAGTTTTAAAAATAAGAYAGCAGCATAGTCTCTGTATTTAGGCTGTGTTTTTCCATCATATTTTATAAACTTGCTCTTAAATGAGGCTCTTCTAAACGTTTGTTTCTCATTAAAGTGTATATCCATTTGTCCATCTTGGAGTACTCACTTTATCCAACTGAAGGTGATCCAAGAGTTTTCTGAACCCATCACAGAATTCAAGGTGATCCCAATACACTGGATACTGCAACTGAAATCATACGCAGTTAGAAAATAAAGGYGATTTCTGATATTGCTGCTTGAAAGGCGAGTTACATTTCACACATCAACGTGACTCGGGGAGGAGAAGAGGAAGGGTTATTCATCCTAACTATAAGCCTTAGCTTAGGCCTAAGCTCTCTCCACAGAAGCCTCCACAAGGCTGGAGCTCCAGAGCAAGGTCGCTGCAGCCGGGATATCCGAGCGCCTCCCCCTCGCTCGCACAGAACACGGATCGGGAAGCGGTGCCAAGCAGGTCAGCTGGGAAAGGGCAGAATTGCTTCATAGCTTGGGCACGGGGACAGGCTGGAATGATTTCCAGGGATTTTGCAGCTCATAATGGTGACAGGTACAAAAATCATTAGCTGCTCTAAGAGACAACGTGCTTAGAGCTGTGCTGCTTAGCCCAAGTGCTGCTGTACAAACCAACCCTTTCACCACATAAGCTGAGAAGCCACCAAACAACAGGAGGGGCTTTGCATTTGCAGCCGTGCAGTCCAAAAACTAGATCACCCAGCATCCCTGAGGCAAATATGGAAAGTCTGGACGAATCCATGCACTCTTCAGGGCTAGCAAGGATCCTGGGGGAGACCCAGACAACTGGTGTGCAGGGCACACAAGGGAATAAGCAGCCTGAGAAGTTAATACTCCACACAAGGCTCTGGATAAGCACTTCTGTGGATGTACAACAGATGTGAGGCTGCATCTGTATGGCTATATATCTATAAATATATATGTATCATGCAGCACAAYGTAGCATCGGCTCTCCGCGATCCTGAGAGGCTGATAACTACAACCCAGCTGCTGATCAGAGCAGCAAATGAATCTATTGAACTCAGGATACTCACAGCAATAACTCTGTAACCCCATCCAGTGAGGGCCAAGATCTGCTGGAAGAAAACGTCTGCAGTTCCACTCACAGGAGGGAGAAATATGAGCGGGCACCGGATGCTCCTCGGTCCTGCGTCGTACAGCGACCACACTTT